CTACATGTGAAATGGCATCAAGTTTAAGAACCCACCCACCATTTCTACTATTTTTTTTTCCTCAGTGTGACAATATTTGAACCTTACTGTGGGAGGGGTCTGGGATTATGAGGAGTGACAGGTCAACCTAAGTATTCTGTTGCAAAATAATTTAGCTGAAAAACTGGTCGCTTGTAATGACAGCAGCAGCTGGGAGGGATCAGGGAGTGTGCTGGCAGCAGGAATATTACTCATCAAACAAATAAAAACTTCCCCGCCTTCCGTGCTGAGATTTAGCACACCTTAAGTCTTCATGCTAAAGGTCCCCTTCAGAAGTTCCCATGACCCATAGGGATGTGTTACCATGGTAATGAGTCACTCTCCTGCTAGCTCTAGTAACAGGATTTCCCAGAAAGATACACACATACATATTTTCAAAAATCCAACAAATAATTGCAACGTAAAAATTAGACAATTAAGCTGGATTGAAATTTCTGCAATTTGGGAACTGCATGAAAGCAAAACTTACCCAAATTTTGAGAATAAGTCACAGTGTGGATACTGTACTTCTGATATCAGTTAATACTATACATTAAACTTCTAACAGAATTGATCTGCCCTTTCTTGTATTTAGAAAAATGTGCTATTAAAATGCTAAATCTTTTTCAACAAAATGCGCCTCTGCTACAAAACCAAATAACAGCGCGTCTTTCCTGTAACTAATAAAAGTTTTGTTTCCTAGGCTCTGATAATCGCCTCCCAAAAATAAAGTTACCAAGTCATGTTTTTCTTCCCCAAAATCCTGGGACAAGCTCCTGAACACTAGGACTGCCCCTGCCTCATCCTAACAGAGCCCGCAAACCCGCAGCCTAGCCGAGCCCCTGAAACCCGCACCAGACCGCGGTGGGCCCTAACCGGGGCCTCCCCGAACCCACGCGGCCCGGCCAGCGGGTCAGCCCCGGGCTCCCCAAGGTGCGGACCAGCCGAGGGGGTGGTGATCGCAGGGAGAGAGCATCCCCCCACGCCCCCTTCATTCCTGCCCCGAGACCCTCTCGGGAACCCGACCCGCGCCCGCCCCCAGCTCGGCGCGCTCACCCCGAAGGAGAGGACGCCCCCCGCCCCCCGCCCCGCGCTCACCCCGAAGGAGAGGACGCCCCCCGCCCCGCGCTCACCCCGAAGGAGCAGGACGCCCAGCAGCGCGAGCGGGACGCGGCCTGGAGCGGCTCCCCGCGGCTGCATCCCGACCGTCTCCCGTCTCCCGACTCCCGCGCGGCGCACCTTGTTTACCGCCCGTGACAGCGCAGGTGACACCGGAAGTGGCGCAGCGCAGGTGGCGGCGGAAACGCGTGAGATGGCGGTTCCGAGAGGCGGGAAGGGCTCTCCCGGACCGCGCCGCACCTGCGCACGACCCCCCACGCGGCGGGTGGTTCTCTGCTGCCTGGAACCGCGGCCCGGGCCTGGGCACTCCCTCCCTCGGCTGTTTCCCAGGACCTTCCACTCCCGCCGCTTGTCCCATCTCAGTGCCCATCTGCGTGCCCATCCGAATGCCCATCCGAGTGCCCATCTGAGTGCCCATCCGAATGCCCATCTGAGTGGCCATCCGAGTGCCCATCCGAATGCCCATCTGAGTGCCCATCCGAATGCCCATCCGAGTGCCCATCTGAGTGCCCATCCGAGTGCCCATCCGAATGCCCATCCTGAGTGCCCATCCGAATGCCCATCCGAGTGCCCATCTGCGTGCCCATCCAAATGCCCAAGTGGCCATCCGAGTGCCCATCCAAATGCCCATCTGAGTGCCCATCCGAATGCCCATCCGAGTGCCCATCCGAGTGCCCATCCGAATGCCCATCTGAGTGCCCATCAGAGTGCCCATCCGAGTGCCCATCTGAGTGCCCATCTGAGTGCCCATCCGAAAGCCCATCTGAGTGCCCATCCGAGTGCCCATCTGAGTGCCCATCCGAATGCCCATCTGAGTGCCCATCTGAGTGCCCCAGGACAGACTTCTGTGACAGCTCAGAGATAACCTGGGATCGGATCAGAACCGATGTGCTGGGCCTGCGCGGTGACAGCGCCTTTAGGTGGAGCTGCTAGGTCACCAAGTCAGCACCTGCTTGAATTGGTGTTTATTAAAGTGCTGTTGACGGTGCAGTGACAGCAGTTCTCAACCTGTGGGTCGATCCTTTGGGGGTCGAAGGACCCTTTCACAGGGGTCGCCTATGACCATCAGAAAACACATATATAATTACATATTGTTTTTGTGATTAATCACTATGCTTTAATTATGTTCAATTTGTAACAATGAAATTGGGGGTCACCACAACATGAGGAACTGGATTAAAGGGTCGCGGCGTCAGGAAGGTTGAGAACCACTGGATTAAACCATTACAGCATGGGGGGCAGGAAGACACTGATGTTTGTCCCTTCTCTGGGACAATGAAGAGGTGAGGTTTTCACAGAGCTTGCCGTGAAGTGAAGAGATGGCCTCACCTTCTTCTGAAAAAGAAATAGACGGTACCTGCTTTCATCACTAGTCAACCTGGCATCTCAGGATATTGAATGAAAGCAAGAGGGGAACTGAACTCTGTTCAGCTTTTGGGGAAATGTCATAACTTTCCATTTTTAACTCTCATTCCTCTAATACAGTGGTTCTCAACCTTGGCTGCACGTTAGAATCACCTGGGAATCTTTTTAAAATCCTGATTTCTGGGCCTCATCCTCCGGAAATTCCGTTTCTTTGTTATGGGGTGGGGCCACAACATTAGTAACAAAGAAACAGAATTTCTGGAGGATGAGGCCCAGAAATCAGGATTTTAAAAAGATTCCCAGGTGATTCTAATGTGCAGCCAAGGTTGAGAACCACTGCGTGAAAACTGGTGGTTTTCACCTTTAAGAAGCTAATGAAAGAGTCCCAAATGGAATAGCTGATATATGCCCTTGAAAGTACAGGAAATAGGCCTCTGCGGTCCATCTCCAGCAAAGCCAACTTTTAGTGCAGAAAACTAGCAGCATGTTGCCAGTTGATACTGAATTTTCAGGGTGGGGGTTCGGGGGAGGCGGAGCAAAGGATATAGGGAGGAGGGGAAAGGGTATGAGCATAAAAAACTGTGTGCAGACCAGCAGCACATTTTCCAGGAAGATCTGCCCTCCGCAGCTAGACAAGGGGAGGTGGAGACAACTAGAAAAGGCCTCAGCCCATTTTTAAAAATAATCCAATAGGAGACAATAAGACCTAGGCAAGGTGGGGGCGGAAGGGGGGGGCTGCTAACCCCACAGTACTCAGCCAACGAGCAACCAGGGGAGGGGCTCCGGGACTAGGGATAAAAGGCCTGGAATCCACGCTCCCAGGGTACCTGCTCAACCAGACACCCGATCTTGCAAGACGCATTAAAAGTCTCATTTTTTGCTATTCTTCTGTCTCCAAGTCTGTTATCTGAATGCAGACAGGTGAGTGTTTCTCACAAAAGAATCCCCAACTAGGTAGCTTGTTGTGCCGGATTCTGAGTTACCCATGGCAATGAGAAAATTCTGCGAAACTCCCTATCAGTTTATTTCTCCAGTAGACATTAATCTGCCTATTATTAACTTCCAGGCTGCCAGGAAGAAAATTTCCAGTGAAGGTGAAATACATACCCATCTGTTTTCTGTTACCTGCTACTTAGAATTTAGATGTGTATATAAAGCCAATTGTATAACTGATAAATCTTTATTGCTAAAGGTTATTTACATAAATGTTTAAGGCAGAAGAAAATCATAGATCACAGAAGTTCTGTTTGGAAGAAGACACTGAATAGCTGGGTATTTGGCCAAGACACAGCTACAAGTTCTGCTGAAACACATTCCCTGAGCTTGTGACGACTTTTCCATTATACTGTGGGACATCATCCAGGCCATCTGTCTGAAGAAGCATCAGTGTTTATATTTTAAAAGGGTGAATTATGAAGAAAAAATAGAAAATGTGAATTAAAAATAATATTGACTCTAAATCTAATTTTTAGTTTCAAAACTGGGTATTGAAACTTTACTTTGTCAGTGTAATGGGCAAAACAAAACAGGTATGGAATGTATTTGTGAATCAAGGTTTGTATGTAAATTACACCAATTTATTTAAGAACTCTTGGGGGAAAATATCAAAGTTCAGCGTTAGACATGAGCAGAGCAAGGACGAAGGGCCAGGTGCAGAAAGCTCCAGGTGCCCAGCAAGGGGCAAAGCTGGGAAAACAAGCGCCTCGCCCCCAGGGTGACCTCTCCTCCCCTCCCATGTCACTGGTCCTGCGGTTTGGACCCCGATCTCTCCTATCCCTGGTGAGGCGGTTTAGACCCGACCGACCTTCGCTCCCTACAGATAACATCGAGGCCTCAGTTGCCTTTCGGCTCCAGGCCCAGAAAAGCAGCAAAACCAGACAAGTGACACCGTGGCTGCCTCAGGTCCAGCCACATTGACTAATGAACCCCACCCCACCCCCACCCTGGAAACAACAAATCAGGGGAGACTGAAAAGAGCTCACCTGGGAAGCTGATGAATATTCTACTAAGGCCCTGAGCCCTCCCCTAAGGTTCCCACCTGCAAGAGAGAGAGCTATGCTCAGAGCAAAGGACCCCATGTGCACTCTCCCTCCAAGGAGCACGCCCGCCACCCCCACAGGCACGTCTCCCCCACCTCACGAGACTTGGAACCAGGGGAGCGGTGGGCAGTGACAGGTCATCCGGGACTCACCCCTGACCCTGTCTCCAGGCCCCCTGTGCTCTGACCTCCCAGTGAGCAGCGCAGCACAGCCTGGACTCTCCTGTTGCTTCTTCTCCGCCTTCCTTGCGTCACTGTCCTGAGTACATTCCGCTGCCATCATGGGCCCCATACCCCTTGGCTCAGTGCTGTGCAGCCCTTCCCTTCGCATATCCCCACCTCCAGCCCCTTTCCCTTAAAGAAATTCCATTTGTCTTTATTCACCGTCTGAGATGGCCGTTTCGCCTGCCTGCCCACCACCGCGTTTAACCTTTCATTCAGTATCTTTAAATACAGATCATCTATTTGAAAATTCCAGTTTATTAAAAGAAATAACGTCTTTAGCCCAGTCAGTGAAAACTGAACATATGTTGTAAAGATTTGGGGGAAGTCTAAACTTTTAGATGTTTCCTGCCTTCTGACTAAATGCTGCTATAGCTTAAGTTTGGAAATAAGCCAGGAAACTAGACACTTTTTAAAAAGCTCTCTTTTTTTCATAGCTCACTTATAACGTTTCTTTTATCTATTAGTATAAGAGAAAAAAAGAATAAAGTTGATTTCATTCTGTTAGTGTTGGCATTTCTTTGCCCCACCCCAAATTCTCCCCCAGAACAAGTGCATTTTTAAAAAAGAAAGAAAAAAGTAAGTAACCTCTTCCAGTTCTCAGAGCTTTGTGTACCACTGAACAAAATGACCATCATTTAGGGTTGATTTTTTTCACCTGCCCTAAATTTCTAAAGTCACAAAATACCGTTTCAGAATTCTTCTATTTAACTGCTTGATGGTCCCGGCTACAAAGGAATGAGCATAGTTCGCTCTGTTGTTACAGGTCATAGAGGTGGGGAGGGGCGGGGACAGCGGGCACTGCTCTGAAAGACCTGCGCTGTCCGTGGCTTTTCACAACAGAAAAAAGGCGCCGGTGGCGGCGAGCAGTTCGCCCAGAGAGTGGCACGTGTCACCTGTTAGCACTACGGTAACCTTCCCTTGGCGCTCCGTGATTTAGACGGTGCTCTCTGGTAAACTTTTGATCAATTGACAAAAATAGGGCAAACTACCATCTAGGGATATTGAAAGGAAGGTCGTGCGGTCAGACGTGTCCCAGATTAAAGGAGCGCCGCTTAGCGATGGGGTTTTGTGTTCCTAGAAACGGCTGGGAGGTTCTCCTGCTTCGCTGCGAGGGAGGACAGCGAACCCATGGACTCCAGCAGCAGGAGCGCTGCGCCCCGCGGAGCGAAGGTACAGGAAATGCGTGGTGGGCAGGGGCCTTCCTCCCAGGCGCTGCCAGGAGCGCAGAGAGTCATCACCGAGGGCTGCTGGGCCGGAGCGCCGCTCCCCGGGGCACAAACGCTCACTTGAAGTTGCTTGCGCTGTAACTAACAGAGAAGAGGTCCTCAGCGAGGGGTGCTTTGGCCGTGTCTCCCCGGGAAGGCTCGGGTGCTTGTCTGGGTGGTCACGGGCAAGAGCTGGTCGGAAACAGGTCACCACGAAAGGGCCAGCGACAAGCTTCCCTCCACTTTGGCTCCTCCTGGGGTCTTGGCCTCCTCCGCCTCCTGAAACACAAAGCTTCTGTGGACCATGCACTTGGGGAGGGGGCGCCGGGACCCCTGGGCCGCGGACCATGCACTTGGGGAGGGGGCGCCGGGACCCCTGGCCCGCGGACCATGCACTTGGGGAGGGGGCGCCGGGACCCCTGGCCCGCGGACCATGCACTTGGGGAGGGGGCGCCGGGACCCCTGGCCCGCGGACTCTGCGAGCCTCCTTTTAACAGACTGGGTTTAACGGACAGAACGCCGTCCGTGTGTCACATGTGAACATGAATACCTGTTGATTTTAAAGTGCTTTTAACCGAGATTTGCGTATAATTAGATTAACAGGTTGGTTTTTTGTTGTTGTTGTTATCAATTCACTGTTGTTTTTAACAAATTTTCGTGAGTGGCCGCATGTTGGAAAAAACACTGATTTCGCCGACATGAATGATATTACTACAGTGTCTGCAACCACAGCCCAGCATTTAAGTGCAGAGGCGCTGCTGGTAGACAATGTAGGGAACGGCCAGCCGCCACACGGCTCCGCACCGGGCATTGCTGCTGTGGTCCGGCCGCAGCCTCCAACCGAGACCACTGTCCCCGGGTGCCCAGCGCGGTGCTCGCCTTCTCGGTGACCGGTGAACGCACGCACTCACCAGGCCCGTTCAGCATAAACTTAAAGTTGCAGCACACAAATAGAAACCTTCTCTGCGAAGTTAAACCTTTTCTACATGATTCTAATGACACAAATGTGTCCACATACGTAAAAACAGGTGGTAAACTATCGAATTTGTCCATTTTGTAGCATATGAACTGGGGAAACCTACCTTCTCATATAAGGGACTTGGGGCTTTACCGGACACCCCCAAATAGTCTGTTACATCGCGGTTTTACTGTACATACATATTGATAGACCTGTTCTCCATTGTGAATGAAAATATTCTTAAATGCATTTATTCTCCCCTAATTTCACTTTTAAAAAGACGTTTCCTGATTCTTATTCTCAGTGAGTGTCCTTAATTCATCGCCTCTGCCTCCTGTGGACACTTGGTGATCTGTACTCACTCACACATACATTTCTCCTCTCTTTCCCTCCCTCCCTCCCTCTCTTCCTTTAATTGGAAGCAAAATCAAACAAACAGAAAAGTAGGTAAGAGGCATTCACCCAACACCTAATCTTAAAGCATTTTGCCTTACTTAAATTTTTTTGGCTGACATTTTTTCCCTGACAAATATTCCAATATGCATTTTTAGAATAGGAACATTTTCCTATATAACCACAACACCCTTATTATACCTAATAAAAATTAATAATAATTTCCTAATATCCATATTCAAATTTTTCATATTCAAGACTCCCAATTGTTCCCCAAATCTTTTTACAACTAGTTTGTTCAAACTAGTGCCATCCAGTCAGGGACCACACATTGCACTTGACTGTGTTAGCTCGTTACATTTCCTTGCATATAGAAGAGCCCCATCTTTTTTCCATGACCCGCATGTTGGAGAACCTGCTTGATTAAAAGAAGAAAATAGCCTTTGGCAAAACCTCTCTGATACCAAATTCGTCTTTCTGGGTTCACGATGGAATCGCTTCTCTCCATAGTCTATTTTATAGATCCTGAAGGTACTTTCACCGGAGTCTCGGGCTATAAAAATGTGACTCTTTTTACAAATAATAATAGTGGACCTACTTCAGAGAATAGAAGAAATTCTGATTATATAAAAAAATAAATCGCCCTAACCGGTTTGGCTCAGTGGATAGAGCATTGGCCTGCGGACTGAAGGGTCCCAGGTTCGAGTCTGGTCAAGGGCATGTACCTTGGTTGCGGGCACATCCCCAGTAGGGGCATGCAGGAGGCAGCTGATCGATGTTTCTCTCTCATCGATGTTTCTGACTCTCTATCCCTCTCCCTTCCTCTCTGTAAAAAATCAATAAAATATATATTTTTAACAAAATCATCCTATCTTTCAATCCTGATAAACCTGAAAACTAGAAAAACAAAATCACACACTATTAAAACTGGATTCATGGTCCCAATAACTAAATGAGAGGAACTGAATAGTTCTGTCAAAACGGCGGGCCTATCTTTTTAAAAGCAATATTAGAACCTGGCTGGTAGCTCAGTTGGTTAGAGTGTCATCCCGACCCCGAGGTTTCAGGCTCATCCCCAGTCAGGACACATTCAAGGGTCAACCAATGAGGCATAAATGAGTAGGACACACACCGATCTCTCTCTCTCTCTCTCTCTCTCTCTCTCTCTCTTCCTCTCTCTTTCTCTCTAAAACCAATCAATAAAAATATATTTATTTACATGTTGAAAGTTAATTTGTTATTCTTAAATAAAGAATTCTCAAATCTTAGAATTCTCTCAGTTTAACCACCTAGCTTCCTAAGACTTTGCACAAATCACACCCAGAGGAGAAGCCGTCTGTAACGCAGACTTTGACCTCCACTTCACGGCCATATCATCGGGGAGGCCCACATTCGAGACGAGCCGGACAGGAGAGCTGAGGAAAGAAGGGAACCATCTGCGACCTCACCGTTGAGGAACGTTAGTCTGTGTCTTCCAGGTAAACCGCGACCTTCTTCTCTTGGTTGAGTCTTTCTTCTTCTTTTCTGTAAGAAAGAAGCAGAAACCAATGTCAAGCCAACAAGACCAGAGCAAGGGAGGCGAGTCTTACATAGCTTAGGCCAGGCATCCTTCCCCACATCCTGGGGAGAATTACATGCACCTGGATATAGAGCCCAGCTTCCGGAGAGCCAGGGCACCAGTGCCGTCTCGCCTCTCACACCCAGTGCCTTCCCATGACCCTGGGTGTCTGAACTCAGACACTTCCCAGAATATTTGTAGAAGGGAGCCGTACAATTAGGGAACTCCAGGGATTTAAAGCAGACACTTTAGTTTACTGTTGGTATCTTACCTCTAATTCTACTCCTTATTCAAAATAGAAAAAGGTTGAGGGGAGGGAAGGAGGTGAAAGAATTAAGTACAAATTGGTAGTTACAAATAATCAAGGGGGTGTGACGTAGAGCATAGAGAATACAGTCAATGACTACGTACGGGGCCAGGTGGGTCCTGCCTATCGAGGGGAACACCGTGTGAAGTATAAGATTGTCTATCTAGCCACTACATTGTACACCTGAAACCAATACAAAATAATATTGACAGTAAATTGTACTTGAAAAATTTTAAAAAGACAGAAAAAGTTTTGTGTTAACCTAGAAGACATCTTTATTCATTACTAGTATATTCAGTTTAACCCCTAGAGCGCTGGGGAGTGCAATCTCGCTCCTCCTGTCTTTTGCCAAAAGTGCCGGGAGCGCTGTCACGCCCCTCCTGCAGTGTCACTATTAGATGCTAGCAGTTCACTCTTTATGTGGAAAAAAAAATTTTAAACTTTAACTCAAAATGCCTTGGCAATTTTAGCACAGCTCCTAGGATATTGGTTGGCACTCGAAGGGTTAAACCAGAACCTCAGAGGTGAGTTCGTTAAGCTCCTTAAAATCAATTCTATTTATTTCAGTAAATATTTCTCAAGGAAAAGAAGCAAATGGTGCTGGGAGTACCAAAACACTGCAACCTGTGCAAAGGAATGAATTTGGACTCCTACTTCACACCACCTACAAAAATTAACTCAAAATTAATCAAAGGCCTAAATGTAAGAACTAAAACTGTAAAACTCTTAGAAGAAACCATAAGCACAAATCTTCATCATGTTGGGTTAAGCAATGGTATCTTAGATACAACACCAATAACATAAGCAACAAAAGAAAAAAATTGATAAATTGGACTTCATCAAAATTTTAAACTTTTGTGCTTCAAAAGACACTGTGAAGAAAGTGAAAAGACAACCCACAGAATGAGAGAAAATCATTGCAATCATACATCTAATAAAGCACTTTTAGATATTCTAAAATATATAAGGAGCTCTTACAGCTCAACAATAAAAAGACAACCCAATTTTTAAGTAGGCAAAACATTTGAATAGATATATCTCCAAAAAGATATACAAATGGCCAATAAATACTGGAAAGATGTTCAGCATCACTAGTCATTAGGAAAATACAAATCAAAACCTCAGTGAGCCCTGACCAGGTATCTCAGTTAGAGCATCTTCCCTATACACCAAGGTCGGCAGTTCGAGCCCCAGTCAGGACACATACAAAAGCAACCAATGAATGCATAAATAAGTGGAACAACAAATCTCTCTCTCTTCTTCTCTCTCTCACTCAAATCAATAAGTAAAAAATTTTAAAAACCACCTCAATCAGAAGCCACTTGACATCCACTATGACTATAATCAAAAGGACAGACAATAATAAGTGTTGTCAATGATGTGAACAAACTGAAATCCTCATACATTGCTGGTGGGATGTAACATGGTGCATCTGTTTTGGAAAATAGTCTGGGAATACCTGGAAAAGGTAAACATAGAATTACCAAGTATTTTAGCAATTTCACTCCTAGGTATATACCCAGAAGAATTGAAAACATATGTCTAGGCAGGAGTGGCCAGGGAAAGGTCAATGGGAGGAAAGGAAGTCATATAAGTACTTTCAACAATAAAGAATTTAAATTTTTTAAAAAAGAAAACATGTCTACACACAAATTTATAGACATATGTTGATAGCAGCATTAGTCATAGTAGCCAAAAAGTAGAAAAAACCTAAATGTCCATCAATTCAATGGATAAACAAAATGTGATATATACACAGAGTGGAATGAAGTGCTACTACATGCTATAACATGGATGAGCTTTGAAAACCCTGTAATAAGTCAAAGAATCCAGACACAAAGGCCACATATTGTATGATTCTATTTATAGGAAACATCCCAAACAGGCCAATCCACGGAGACAGAGAGCAGGGTAGGCAGGGGCCGGTGAGAGGGGGATGGAGGGAGTGACAGCAAGAGGGTGTGGGATGTCTTTTGTGAGTGATGAATATATTCTGGAATTAGTGGTGACTATGGAATATTAAAAGGGTGAATTTTATAGTGTGTAAATTTTATCTCAATAAGAAAATATTTATTGAGCACCTAACAGCAGACTGGCTGACTTCCCTAGGTACTGATTCACAGTGACCTGCTGACCGCCCAGTGGTTCTTAGAAATGTATGCTTTACATTAAAGGTAAGGAGTATTCTTTTTTTCTTTTTTCTGTTTTGGTTAATCCTCACCCAAGGGTATTTTTTTCATTGATTTTTTTAGAGAGAGTGGAAGCGAGTGAGGGAGGGGAAGAGAGAGAAAAAAAACAACAAGGGTCTGAGAGAGACACATCAATTAGTTGCCTCCCGCAAGTGCACCGACCAGGGCCAGGGATTGAACCTGCAACCCAGGTACATGCTCTTGACTGGGAATTGAACGCTGGACCCTTAGGTGCACAGGGCAATACTGTAACCACTGAGCACACTGGCCAGGGCAGGAGTGCGCTAAAAAAGCTTTGTCTAACAGATATGAGTTTCTTATACAATATTATATTAGTTTCAGGTGCACACCCCAGTTAGACATTATGTCACTTGCTAAGTGATCCTCCCGATAAGCCTCATACCCATCTGATGGAACAGATTTCAATATCAAATCCTCCATCATAAAGAAAGGCCGTCATGAAATCTGTAAAACCAAGAGCCTTTTGTACAGTCCCTAATCCACCCCAATGTGCTCATCCTGTGAACCTGAGCCCTTCCTCTAAGATGTACTCAAAGGGCAGAGCGCCGCTCCCCAGGGACTAGCCTCCCGTAGGCGCCAGGTGCCGCCCTAAGGGAGAGGAGGAGCTGGTGCGGGCTCCCAGCCTTACGGTGTGATCTCCACCACCTTGTGGGCCCTCGAGGCCCACCGCCGTTTGCGGAAATGCTGGAAGAGGACCACCCCGATCACTATGATGACCATCAGGGCGCAGGCGGAGCCAATGGCCAGGGCCAGGAAGTAGATCTCGGAGAAGCGCACTGGGGAGAGAAAAACGGTCCAGTTAGGGTTCTCGAACAGCAGAGGATTGTGATGTCAGCTAAAGGTACAATAGGGATGCAATTTTTAAAAATTTTTTATTGATTTCAGAGAGGAAGGGAGAGGGAGTGAGAGATAGAAACATCAATGATGAGAGAGAATCATTGACTGGCTGCCTCCTGCATGACCCCTACTGGGGATCAAGCCACAACCCAGGCATGTGCCCTTGACCAGAATCGGACCATGACCTCTTGGTTCAGAGGTCAACGCTCAACCACTGAGCCACGCCAGCAGACGGAATGTACTTTTGTCATTAAGTGGAATTGTTCACCTACCGTGTTACCTTGTAAACTCTAGAAGCACAGGAAAGCCGACATTCTCCTTTGGTGGCTCTCAGACTGTGTCCCAGGAGGACCAGCAACAGAACTTTGAAACACAAATGACCAGGCCCCGCCCCAGACCTACTGAATTGCAGGTGGGGCTGGCTGTTTGCTCTGACAGTCCCTGCAGGTGGTGATGCCCGCTAACCTGTGAGCACCACTGGGCCGGTTGAGTAAGATTATTGCTGACCTAGTCCCATCGAGGGCCCAAACCTTTCTCCCTCAGTCCCTCTGCCATTCAGTGAGTCGTTTATTCCGATGTGTGAAGGGCCTACCATGTTCCAGGCACTGATGGAAACACCAGCCAGAAACTGACATCACCGTCAAGGAACTCACACCCTGGGGAGACAGGTGGGTAAATCAGTGACCACACTCGTGCATCGCTAACAACAGGCCGCTTTCTGAGAGCTGCCTCTGTAGGCACTGCTGTCACTGTGCAGACATCCTAGAGCGCCTTACACACCTCGCTGTCTGCGCAGCCCACTGCTGCCAGGCTACAGCCCTGGCCGGCACCTCACTGTCCGAATGCCGTAGGCAGTTGTAACACAGTGGTATTTGTGCATAGAAACACATCTACACATGGAAAAGGTACAATGAAAACGTGCTATAAAAGCCCGGCCGGCGTGGCTCCGTGGTTGAACATCAACCTATGAACCAGGAGGTCACGGCTCGATTCTGTCTGGGTTGCGAGCTCTGAGCCCCAGGAGACGGAGCACAGGAGGCAGCCGATCAATGACTCTCTCATCATTGATGTTTCTATCTCTCTCTCCCTCTCCCTTCCTCTCTGAAATCAATAAAAATATTTTTTTAAAAAATGTTTTAAAAGAGTAGTTTATTGAATTTTAGAGAGAGAGGAGGGAGAGGGAAAACCATCGATTGGAGAGTGCAGCATCAAGCGGCTGCCTCCTGCACGCCCACCACCAGGGGTCAAGCCCGCAACCTGGGTACCTGCCCTGACTGGGAATCACCCTGAGACCCTTGATGCCCGGGACCATGCCCAAGCACCCGGCCACCAGGCAGGCCCACGTTTCCCAGCTTTTAAGGAGCTTATTGAGGCTACAGAGGCTCCTGCTAAGCTTCCCGTGCATTTTCCTGCGGCCTTATTCTTGCCCGGCAGTTTCCTTCCTTTGCCTCCTCTGCAGCCGTGCCCGCTGTGCCAATCCAACCCCTCCCCGTCCGTCCGTCCCTCGGGAGCCAGGCCAGGCGCTCCAGGTGGCCCTCATCACGCTGCGGCTAACGTTCCCCATCGCAACCACATCCCTGTTCCTCACCACCTCTGAGCTGTGGTGTGAACGGCTGCAGCGCCACTGGGGGCAGGCATTTTCCGGCTCTGTGGTCACTGTGTGGCCGCCACTGCACATGTGGTCCATTGTGACCGAAGCATCATCGTGTGGCACAGGACTGACAGGCTAGCAGGCGAACGGTGCAAGAGGGACCCCACAGGTCAGGGTCCCTAAACCAGGGACCTTGCGCCTGTGACGTCTGGGTCTCTGTCTTTCTTTTTTTTCTTTCTTTTAATCCTCGCCCGGGATATTTTTCCATTGATTTTTAGAGAGAGGGAAAGACAGAAAGAAATACCAGTGTGAGAGAAACACATCGATCCCAGGCCGGAATCGAACCAGAGACCCTTTGGTCTGCAAGCCAACGCTGTATCCACTGAGCTAAACCATCTAGGGCTTAATTTCTGATTTAAAATTCAATAAACCCTCAGAACCAGCAAGGACAGTAGAGATGTCTAGCTCGGGGGCTCCCAGCCTGGAGTCCACTGCTCACTGTGTGTGTGCATTCTCTGTGGACGCAGGGCCACGGCTCACTGTGTGTGCGCATTCTCTGTGGACGCAGGGCCACGGCTCACTGTGTGTGTGCATTCTCTGTGGACGCAGGGCCACGGCTCACTGTGTGTGTGCATTCTCTGTGGACGCAGGGCCACGGCTCACTGTGTGTGTGCATTCTCTGTGGACGGTGGGCCACGGCTCACTGTGTGTGCGCATTCTCTGTGGACGCAGGGCCACGGCTCACTGTGTGTGCGCATTCTCTGTGGACGCAGGGCCACGGCTCACTGTGTGTGCGCATTCTCTGTGGACGCAGGGCCACGGCTCACTGTGTGTGCGCATTCTCTGTGGACGCAGGGCCACGGCTCACTGTGTGTGCGCATTCTCTGTGGACGCAGGGCCACGGCTCACTGTGTGTGTGCATTCTCTGTGGACGCAAGGCCACGGCTTTTGTTAGATCTCAGAGCAGTGATCCCGTATGTTTAAGAACCATGTGTCTTGTCTAATCTGTTCGGTTTGCAGAGGAAGAAACTGAGGTCCAAGGATAGGATATTACTCCTTTCAGCACTCAGATTACTTCTCCAGCCGCACAGCTCTCTCCTGACAGGGCCTGGAGGCCGGTGCTGGGGTGGGAAGGAGGAAATCACACCACTTTACAGGCAGTGATACTGTGTTAGTTCAGAGCACACAGCAGAGAAAGCTCGGTTAAATACCAGCTCCCCCACTTACTAGCTGTGCGATTGGGGTAATTAACTTCCTTGAGCATCCATTTCCGCCATGTATAAAATAGACATAACAATACCCATTTCTTGAGTTCTTACTAAAAATAAAATTGTTCATTTAAATTGTTCCCGGCTGTGCCTCCACGTAATAAACACGCAGCATACAGTAACTACTATAATTTTCAGTATGATTAAGAGTTTGGGGACTTTTTACATTTGTTATCTCATTTTATCCTCACCCTAATCCAGGGGTGGGCAACCCCTGGCACGCGTGCCAAACATGGCATGCCAGTAACTTTTACTGGCTCACGAATCCCTCTCTTATAATCTTCCATTTACAATTGTGAATCTTTGTTCTCAGTGATGAATTTTGTTAAGTCTCGTAATAGGAGTAGCCTGACGGATGAAAGGAGTAGCTCGTGCATATCTCTGAAGGTCACGAAATATAAACCTGATGTAAAATCTCTGTCATCAGTAATGCAGCAGCAAAAGTCCCACTGCTAATATCAAATGGAGTCATAAAGTTTTCTGTCGGACTATCAGTGTACATGTATACATTAAAAAATAAATGTATTTTCCATCATCATATACTGTGTTTTTGTCGCTCGAATGAATTTTATTATTTCTTCAAGGTTCTTCACATACATACACCTTAAGAGATATCAAGTAGGTATAACATGTTCTCAAAAAATTAGGGTTGGCACGCAGAAGAATTTTGAGTCAGAGATTTTGCTGGTTTTGGCACGCACTCACAAAAAGTTTGCCCACCCCTGCCCTAATCCTCGCTCTATTGTTCTCACTTGCCTGGAGGGAAATGATTCATCTACAGCTGCAGTGCCGCGGTCTTTGCTCTGTTACCCGGCACCACTGGCCGGGCTGGGTCATGGGACGCAGTCAATGCGCAGACGATGCAACGCAGTGGTTGGGAGATTCATTCTGGAGCCAAAGATGCCCACCCACCAGCTACGTGTCTGTGGACAAGTGACTTCACCTCTGTGAGCCTCAGTGTCCTCATTAGTAAAATGGGGGTGGGGGGGACACCAAGAACACAATGAACTGACAGGATACGTGAAGATGAAAGTCCCGACACCATTCGGTAAAAAAGGGCCCCTGATGGGCGTCTACGGCGAGGTGGGCTGTGAGGACCAGGAGACAGGGCCTCCAGCACCAGCACGGGTGGCAGGGGCCCAGCAGGCACTCGCTCACCTCCTGGGCAGAAGTGGCCGAATGAACAGGCCATGGCTACCCTTTACCAGGGAGTTGCTTCCTCTGCCTCCACGGTCTCACTCCATTTTTGTAACAGCTTCCTTGGGTCCCTTGCTTTCCTTTCTGTTTCTCCCCACAAACAAAGCCTTTCTCTTTCACCCCAGGATTCCTCACTCTCCCTCCGTAGCTTCCAGATTGAAAGGGCTCATCCTTCTCTCTACACTTCCAGCCACCACAAAAGATGGCCCCTTTCTTTTCTTTTCTTTTTAATTATTTTTATTTTCCTTATTTTTATCGATTTCAGAGAGAGGAAGGGAGAGGGAGAGAGAGAGAGAGAGAGAGAGAGAAACATCAATGATGAGAGAGAATCATTGATCAGCTGCCTCCTACAGGCCCCACACTGAGGATCGAGCCCACATCCCGGGCATGCACTCTTGACCGGAATCCAACCTGGGAGCCTTCAGTTCGCTTGCCAACGCTCTATCCAGTGAGCCACACCGGCTAGGGCTGCCCTCTCTTTACTACAAGCTCCCAGGCTTCCCCAAACTCTTCCCCAGCGGCACCTACCGGTCTGCACGACGCTGAGCCGGATCTCCCCGACGAGCCCGTCCACGTCGGGCGGGTTCTTCACCTGGCAGGTGTACGTCCCGTTGTCGTCGAACCGCAGCTTCCAGAGCATGATGGAGGCGTCATACCGCTCGGGGTTCCCGTTCCAGACCACCCGGTCCTTGAACCGTCCGCTCATGGGTTTGAAGGGGTCCATGTGGTAGTAGAAAACCTGGGAAGGAGAAATGGCAGGGGGTGTGGGGAGAGCAGAAGAGACCCGCCAGCCTCGCGGCCGGCAGCTTTCAGCAGGAGCTCCCGGCTCTCCCTGCCAGCGGCCTCTGTCCCGGGAACTGCTTCCCAGCCCTGCCTTGTGCTCGTTGCTAAAACTCTAATAAATACATAACTGGCCCTGGCCGGTGTGGCTCAGTGGTTGAAGCATTGGCCTGCATACCGAAGGGTCCCAGGTTCGATTCCCGGTCAGGGCACACGCCTGGGTTGCGGGCTCAATCCCCAGTGTGGGGTGTGCGGGAGGCAGCCGATCCATGATTCTCTCTCATTTTTTTAAAAATATATTTTTTTATTTTTTTACAGAGAGGAAGGGAGAGAGATAGAGAGTAAGAAACATCGATGAGAGAGAAACATCAATCAGCTGCCTCCTGCACACCCCCCACTGGGGATGTGTCCACAACCAAGGTACATGCCCTTGACCGGAATCGAACCTGGGACCCTTCAGTCCGCAGGCCAATGCTCTATCCACTGAGCCAAACCGATTTCGGCAATTCTCTCTTATTTTTGATGCTTCTATCTCTCTTTCCCTCTCCCTCTCTGAAATCAATAAAAATATATTAAAAAATAAAGAAATGAACAGACACAGGAAGGGCCAGGAGAAACAGACCGGCTTGTTTTCCTAACCCAGATCCCCGAGAAAATGACGCCCATCTACTTACGAACTGCTCAGAGCCCCCATCCTGGGGGCGGAAATTCCAGGTCACGGTCAGAGCGTCGCCCACGGGGGCGAAGCTGGAGAAAGTGCACTTCAGCCGGACGTCCGTGCCGTTCACAGCCTCCAGCACCCGGGACGTGTAAATTTCCACGGCGGCTCCGGGCCCGAGAGCTGAGGCGGGAGCAGGAGGAAGAAGGGTCAACAGGCAGGAGCAGAGAGCTGCTGCCTCCGCCAAAGCCCCGTGTGAGCGGCGCAGAGCAGAGCTGAGAGGCCTGCCTGCTGGCATGACACCCACTTCAAACTGTCAGGAGAAACCTCAGCCATCGGCAAATCAAAAGGAAAGCAGAAACCCAGAAGTCTACACGGACCCGAACATGCATTGGGCGAGGGTTCGAGTGCAGCGGTATGTGCTGCGTGTGACGGTCCTTGAGCAGGGAGTTGTCCAGAGGGGCCCTTGCTATGTCTTCTGCAGAAATTAAGTTCAAGGCCAGACGGTTCGTGCTGGCCGGGCCCCTGACGCTCCACACCCGCGGCCTCCTCGGCATGACGGTCACGCTCAGACCACCTGTCCTCTCCCCGCACAGTGCGGCTCCCCAGCGCTGCCCCGGGCTCCCGGGGTCCAGACCCCACCCCCAGGGGGCCCGCCCAAGCCCCGCCTGAGAGGAGGTGAAGCAGCGGCAGGAAAATGGTTGGTAACCTGAGATTTGAAAACCCTCTCTGTGCCCGGCTGGCAGCCGAGTCTCACCGAAACCTGTTTGTCCAAAAGCAGTTCCTCCAAGCACCCACTGACTTCGGTTTCAGTAAAGTCCACCCCAAAGCGGCTGCCACTGCGGCTCAGGCTCCAGAGGAAAACTCTGGCTCCTTCCTAGACAATTCGCTCCCTTCACGGGCTGGGCGGTGAGGGGGTTGCTGCGGGAGCCCCCTGCCCTGCCCCCCCCCCCCCCCAGCCCTTACCTGTGAGCTGTATGCCCAGCAGGAGCAGCGCCGCGCGCGGGAGGCTCCGGCCATACATGAGGAAGGCCAGCCCTGGCCCCCAGGCCAGACGGGCAGACGGAGGGCTGCAGCCCCCTGCCAGGCCACTCCCGAGCGGGCACCTGCGTTGTCCGGAGCGCGGCAGCCCCTCACCTGTGGGAACCCGAGCGCCCGCGCCTGTGACTCATCCCTGCTCCGCGGGCGCACTTTGCTGGAATGAAAGGTGGGGCCTCCGCTCCCAGCGCCTCCCCCCTGCCTCCTCCCTCCGCCCTCTGCCCTGAGCGAGTCTGCACAGAGCCCACAGCCGCAGCCTCGCTCTCCTGCTCGGCTCCTCTGGGCGCTGGCCTCCGGGTGGCTCGGAAGCGGCGGGGAGGTGGTGCCAGGCTGCTGCGTCCCAGCCGCCCTGGCCTTGGCCCCTGCACACGCTTTTTACAAACAGGCTGCAGGCCCGCCTGGGAAGGGAGTGTTGAAACTGCCTTGCAGGGATTGGCCCCCGGAAGCACCTCCCTGCTCAGCACCGTCTGCGGGCAAAGTCCTGCAGTGCGCACCCTCGGCCTGAGTCACATGTGCCCATGCGGGTTCTGAGCCTTTGCGAGCCCGTAGCTTCCCCGAGACCCACCTGATATACACTGGCCAAAGCAACCTTCATGTCTAATGACCCTCCTGCTTTGCAGCTTTTAAAGACCATCGGGATGGCATCCCTGCCCGGCTCCCATCCCCACGCAGCCCGCAAAGCGCTTTTTCTCCTGTTAGCGCATCTCTGCGATCCTCCCGCGGTGTTCCCACCCCACCTGCGAGGGTGTTCCCACCCCACCTGCAAGGACTCGAAGAGCCCAGAGGAGGTAAATGTTTTGCCCAAAGGTGCACAGCCAATAGGTAGCAAACCTGGAACTGTTCGGAGTCTTAAACCTAGTGCTCTTTTTACAAAATAACAGGCATGTGAACAACCAACACAGGGGACTCTGCAGGAAAAGCCTTCAAAATACGTCACTGACTTGGGCCTCCCAGTTCACGGCCCCTTTTAGGGTCGCCCCGTGGGAGGAAGCTCAGGTAGAGGAATTCTGATGCGCCAAGGCCTCCCTCTCCAGATGGAGGTCCATGACCAGCCCTGGCAGCAGTGCAGGGGGGAGGTCGAGAACGGTTCTGCCAGCGGTTAAGACGTGGGCTCGGCTGGCCCAGGAGCCTCTCCCCCAGCGCGGACGAGCGGCTCTGGCAAATGCGTTAGTGATTCTGAAAATTCTGCCAGTTAAATCCTGGGACAGAGACATGGCCAGGGGCTGGAGGCAGGGGCAGTCAGACTGGAAACGCTAAAACATGGGAAGAGAAAACTCTACTGAGAGAGGAAGATTACAAAAGTGAAGAACAAGAAAAGCAAAAGAGGAAAGAAAAACAGGGGGCGAAAATACAGTCACGGAGAAGGAAGAAAGGGAAGAAAACAGAAGTCGGTGTGAGAGCTGAGCCTCACACCAGGCTGCCCGGAGGCAGGGCCCGCACCCAGCGGGACACGGGGAGCGTTTCTGAAAACAGTGAGTGTGTGGCTCCTTTGTCAGCTCCCAGGTCTGCGATCAACCTAAAATCAGGGTGCGGGGGCCTTTGAAACAGCGAGAGGACAAAAGAGAGCTTTTCTGGTGGAGAGGTCCCGAGAGTTCAGCTCCAGGGCCTGAAAGAAAGGAGTTAGGGGAACGGGATCCCCTGCTGGAGGGCAGCTCTCGGGAAGGCAGCCTGACGGAGAGGGAGAGCGGAGGCCCAGCCAGCCGCCCAGTGTGCTGCGAGGTCGGGTTACCAGCGCGGCCGGAGGCACGAGAAGCAGCAGGAGAGGAACCAGGGCCAGAAGCACTGAACAAACTGCCTGTTGTCAGGAGAGAAGAACGCCCCCCAGGTAGCCTGCCGCCTGGGGACACGGCCAGCCCTGCCAGGAGGGCCAGCAGCTGCCCAGGGCCCAGGCTCAGCGGAGTTCAAGCGTCTGGCCTCGTGCCCAGCGACGCCCAGTTCCTTCCAGTTAGCAGGAGTGGCTTGGGTCACCCAGTTTCCCTCCCTGGGTGGGGCGGGAGGAGGCCAAGGGTGGGGCTAAGTAGAGAAAACACGACATAAAAAGGAGGCTTGCCCCTAGGAGTCCCAGGATGCTGGTCAGCAAGACTTTGATCGAAGCTGGAGGCATCGGCTGGGTTCTGCCCACCGGCGGGGAGGCAGCTGCTGTGGGAGACCCCTGTTGTGGAGAGATCCCTGCTGTGGGAGACCCCTGCTGTGGGAGACCCCCCTGTGGGAGACCCCCCTGTAGGAGACCCCTGCTGTGGGAGACCCCCCTGTGGGAGACCCCCTGTAGGAGACCCCCCTGTGGGAGACCCCCTGTAGGAGACCCCCCTGTGGGAGACCCCCCTGTGGGAGACCCCCTGTAGGAGACCCCCCTGTGGGAGACCCCCTGTAGGAGACCCCCCTGTGGGAGACCCCAGTGGAACCACCACCACCATGTCTGACCGGGAGGCAAGACTGTCACCTGAGGACTTGGGGGTGAGTAGGAAGGAGAAGACATTCAACTCAGAGTCCGTGGACAGAAGAGCAGTGAGGGTCACTTCAGAGTGAAAAGGACCACACATCCCAGGAAACTCAGGGCCCCACACCGTCCCCGGTGGGAGTCCAGGGACTGCACTCAGGTTCCCCCTGAAGGTCAGAGAGCGGCTGGTGCTCATGCCCCAGGAGGACGGGCAGTGGAGGGGACGATGGGGTTGAAGTCCATCAGGGGCAAACAGGGGGTCATTCAACGGTGTAGGTATTCATTTTATTTTATTTCCCCGCTTTTTATTGTTAAAAATAGTTATTTTGTAATGTGATGTTCAAAATGAAAACTCACCCCCATCCCTTTAAAACACCTGGTCATTGGAATTCTAGTGCCCATTCTGCATTGCGTTTGTTTTCATTGTGCTGACTTTGGGAGGTCACACCTCAGCCCCTCCTTTTGTTTTGGTGTTCATTCTCACCCAAGGATATTTTCCACTGAATTTTAGAGAGAGTGCAAGAGAGGTGGAAAGACACAGAGAGAAACATCGATGTGAGAGAGACACATTGGTCGGCTGCCTCCTGCCCATGCCCTGACCAGGACCAGGTGTTGAGTCTGCAACCGAGGTACATGCCCTTGACTGGACTAGAACCTGGGACCCTTCAGTCCACAGGCCAACACTCTATCCACTGGGCCAAACCGGCTGGGGCTGCCCTCTCCTTTGGAATGTTGCTCATGTGCACAGGGAGGACTGGGTGCTTTCTGGCTTGTGATAAATAAGGTGAATTGATGCAAGTGTCATAACGACGTCTAACAGCCCGGGTTCCGGCCTGTGACTGCTTCGCTTCAGCACTGGGCCTTCCCGGGGGAGGGGAAGCTCCCAGAGACCTGAACTCTGGGAAAATTATCTTTCCTCAACTTGAAGCTTCTTTTAAAATTTGAAGCTTCTTTTAAAATTAGACTCTCTAGCCCCTGCCGGTTTGGATCAGAGGATAGAGCAGCCGTGGGCAAACGACGGCCGTTCGCTGTTCTATCTGCCCGCGGAGCCGAAAGAGCGGAGGGTTCTCTTGCTCTCCCCTCCGCTCCTTCACCAGCAGCAGTGTTAACATGTATTAGTTCACACAAACACTCCATCCACGCTTTTGTTCCGGCCCTCCGGTCCAGTTTAAGACCCACTGTGGCCCTCGAGTCAAAAAGTTTGCCCACCCCTGGGATAGAGCATCGGCCTGCAGACCGAAGGGTCCTGGGTTTGATTCTGTTCAAGGGCATGTACCTCAGTTGCAGGGTCCTCCCCGACCTGGTCCCTGGTCGGGACACGTGCAGGAGGCAACAATCGATGAACTTCTCTCACATTGATGTTTCTCTCTGTCTTTCCCGCTTTCTGAAAATCAATGGGAAAATATCTTTGGGTGAGGATTTAAAAAATAATAAAAATCTGAAGGTCTGGGCCAAAAGAAGAGGTGCACCAGGTTGGAGTCCGGATGACAGGAGGGGTGAGATAAAGACTAACTCCAAAGCCGCTTGACTGAAGAGAAGGCATTGGAAGAGGAAGGAAGGCTCTGCCAGAAGGTCCCAGCGCAGCGCAACCCCATCAGCAGAGAGTAGCTATTCGTGCAGATGTGCGTAAAACAGGACATTGCTCTTTTCATTTTGTGTCTGCTTTTGGGATATGGGCTTTCAATGGACATTGTCTGCACCAGCTTTATTAAAATGAACAAAATATTTGTAAAAATTATTAAAAGCAACAACTGGAGGCATCCAGGTAAGGCCTAGGTTATAGTTAGTGTCTAGGCAAATGAAAGAAAAGGAAGAGGAATTCTAGACTAAAAGGGGGAAAAAAGTGAAGCTCCTCCCTCTGCCCCAACAGCCCACACATATCCCCACACACTGCTCCAGAGCTCGGCCTTGGCCAGGAGGGGCTCGCAGGGGCCCAGAAGACACGGAGGACCAAGGGCCTGGATCATCATTTGTAAAAATCGTCGTCTCAACAGCCCAGGCAGAAGTGGTTTCCTGGCCACGAGATGAAATTCGCATCCTGTGAAGCACGGTAAACTTAGCTCTTTGGGTAGTTCAAATAAAGTGTGTGTTTACTCAAAGGTTCCTGTCCATGTCTTTCTTACTAGTAAAAGTTTTATTAAATTGTAGTTATATGCTGGGCTAGACATGTAAAGTAGAATGAGACATTTCTGCCTGGTGGGGGTGATCAGAATCTAAAGAGGAAGTGAAGTATGTATGTAAATAAATAATTAGCACATTTGTGACTTTTGAACTGAACCCTTAAAGGACCAATAAGAATTCTGGAAAGATGCCCGGCTGGTGTGGTTCAGTGGTTGAGTGTTGACCTAGGAACCAGAAGGTCATGGTTCAATTTCCAGTCAGGGCAACATGCCCGGGTTTCGGTCTCGATCCCCAGTGTGAAGCGTGCAGGAGGCAGCCGATCAATGATTCTCTCTCATCATTGATGTTTCTATCTCTCTCTCCCTCTCCCTTCCTCTCTGAAATCAATAAAAATATATCTTTTTTTAAAAAAGAATTCTGGAAAGAGACGAGAAACAAAGGTAATCCTGTTGGGACAAATAGGTGGGAATATGGTGTCGCCTGGGGACTCCAAGCAACCCCTCAATACTGGAGGAGGGCCAGGCCAGGAGGCGGAAGAGAGATGCAGGGCTCAGATGTGGAGGGTCCTCATTACGCCTGAGGGGCAATAGTGAGGGGCAATAGTGAGGGGAAATAATGAAAGTCTTGAGACATCAGCACCACATACTCTACAGTGTTCTCATTAAAAGTAGAAACTTAACACGAGTTTTCAAAAGACTCAGAGATTCCCGGTTTTCCCTTACCAACAATTCCTATTTACACCTACTTTAAAAAAAATTCCTCTGGTTTAGAGAGCCTTTTAATGATGAGAGAGGGAGGTGAGGATGCCACAGTCCTA